TCAGAATGGACTCCAGGCAGTGGGTGTGGTTTGGGCTTTGCTTCTGTGAAGACTGACAGCCTTGGAGACCCTGTGGGCAGTTCCACCCTGTCCTCTAGGGGCGCTGTGGATCGGAATCAACTCCACGGCACTAGGTGTGGTTTTCATTTATATATATTATACATAAAGACTTTGTTGTATTGCATTTACCCGATAGTGCTTTTTTTTTGGTTTGCTTTTGTTTTCACAAACAAGGTTTGCAGCAGCAGCCCTGCGTTGTGTAAGTCCATTGGCGCCATTTTTCCCACAGCCTGTGCTCCGTGTCTCTGTCCCATTTTCGTCACTCTCGCAGTATTTCACACTTTTTCGTCAGCCATGGCGCACGTCACAGACGACAGCACAGCGTCGACATTTGCAGGCCCTGGGAAGCCAGAAGATCCGTGTGACTCCCTGTGTTGGCTGTTCCCTCTCCTGTGGTGCTCTGGGACCGACCCTGCAGTATCTCTGAGGTATGCCTGCACATATTTATAGAATAAACCACGCTCCCATAGATGCACACTATGAAGCAGACAGCCACTGAGACGACTAGAAATCCGTGTGCCGTCAAGGCCACCCCAACTCACGGCGCCCCACTTGCGTCCGAGCAGAGCTGTGCTATCTGGGGTTTTCAGTGGCGGGTTGTTTTTGAAAGATCCCGAGGTGCCCTGGGTGGACTTGCACCTCCGACTCTTCGGACAGCAGCCAGGCGTGTTAACTGTCTGCACCGGGGCTGAGAGTTGGTGTTCTGCCCTCAGCAAAGACTCATCCAATGACCGATGCATGTGGAGTTGGGGTGTAAATGCTCCAGCCCCTTTGCCCCCGTTGGGGACTTGGGGACACTCTGAGTTCCTGGTGGGACTGGGTCCAGTTGCCCATCAGTAACTGGCTCGGTTGCTCACCTTTTGTTGGCTGTCTCCTCTTCCTTCTCCACTTTTGTGCTCACGTTTGCTGGGAACATACCCGTGGTGGTGATGTTTATGCATCAGCTGGGCTGGGCCTGGCTGAGTGGCTGGGCAGCTGGATGTGGTATTCCCCATGAGGAGACTGGCCATCAGTCAGCTCCATGGTGGGATCTACTGTGAGCAGCTGGGTAGCTGCCTTAGGGATGTGGTCTGCTTCCTGTATTTAAGGAGGAGCCTTGGAAATGGTCTCTAGCCTATGGCACGCTTGGACCCTGCATGTAGCTGTGTCATTGCTCAGCAGCCTGCTGTGCTCTGCCGACCTTGGGACTCACAATGGTCTTAAGTTAATGGCCTGCCGTGTGGTTTGGTAACATTGGAACTGTGCCTTTTTACTTGTCAACCTTGGGGCTTCTCAGCCTCAGCAGCCAGCAGCTGTCTGAGTGAAGAAATGCCTCTAGCTCCAGTGGGCCGGGAGCAG